ATTTCGGAAGCCTTGATATGGTATTGTCTAAAAAAAAGTTTAAAGTGCCTTATTTATTTATATGTCCCGTTAGGTCCCAGAAATGCTTTTATATATATTTCTCAAAAGAATTGTATTTTTATTGTCTTGCTATAGTTTCCAAAGAGTTACTCAATGGACAATTTCCTGAATTATCTTTTGCTTCTGTTGCATTTTGGAGATGTGTGTAGTCATAGTGATTTAGTATTTTGTATGGAAGTCAAAATACTACTTTGTTTATATTTTGCTACTTTCGTAAGGAATAATTTTACGTTCGGTGCCACTTTCCTCAGGTGATAAGACTCTGACATGCTCTTAAATCATTATTTGAGCCGTGTCACGACTAAACCAACATAGTGTGTTTGCGACCAGCAGGGATCCAGACCAGCCTGCGCATCCGCGCAGTTTGATCAGGATCCATGCTAATCGCTTACAAACCCTATTACAAGTAGAGAAACTGATAGCGAACAGCATGGATCCTGATCAGACTGCGCAGATGCGCAGGCTGGTCTGGATCCATGCTGGTCGCAAACGCATTACGTTGGTTTTGTCGTGACGCGGCTCATTTTAAAGTTATAAAGCTCAAAGTATGCTCTTTCTTAAGAAGGAAAATGTATTTGCTTCTGAAATATGTTGCAAAATAAAAATGTTAGCCTATAAAATGTTATAGTAGTTAGTTAAATCAATATACCACAAACATTTTAACTTACAACTAGTGAATTAATGGGTTCACAACAATTACTGAGCATGTTTAGCTAATTAAAAGATATTTCATACCACATTAATTACATGTCTATCTAGTAGTAAATTAATGCAGTATAGTACATTCAAATATATAATCAAGTTGTCTAGCTGGCAAGATGAGACTTAAACTTTTTTAGAAATGTATCATCTGCATGTCTAGCTATCTGTCAGTGAATGCAGTGTTTCAAACACAAATTATATAAACTTCTAGCTGGCAACTAGTGCATGTAGTGTTTCAAACACAAATTATCTACACGTATAGCTGGCAACTAGTGAATGTAGTGTTTCAAACACAAATTATCTACACTTCTAATTGGCAACTAGTGAATGTAGTGTTTTAACACGTCTAGCTGGCAACTAGTGAATGTAGTGTTTCAAACACATATTATCCACACATAAATGGCAACTAGTAAATGGCGTGTTTCAAACACATGATATCTACACGTCTAGCTGGCAACTAGTGTATGTAGTGTTTCAAACACATATTACCTACACGTCTAGCTGGCAACAGTTCATTGAAGTGTTTCAAACACATATTATCTACACGTCTAGCTGGCAACTAGTGAATGTAGTGTTTCAAACACATATAATCTACACGACTACCTGGTTGCTGCTGGATGTAGTGTTTCAAACACATATTATCCACACATCTAGCTGGCAACTAGTGAATGTAGTGTTTCAAACACATATCTACACGTGTAGCAAGCAACTAATGAATGTAGTGTTTCAAACACATATTATCTACACGTCTAGCTGGCAACTAGTGGATGAAGTGTTTCAAACACATATTATCCACACATCTAGCTGGCAACTAGTGAATGTAGTGTTTCAAACACATATCTACACGTGTAGCTAGCATCTAATGAATGTAGTGTTTCAAACACATATTATCTACACGTCTAGCTGGCAACTAGTGGATGAAGTGTTTCAAACACATATTATCCACACATCTAGCTGGCAACTAGTGAATGTAGTGTTTCAAACACATATTATCCACACGTCTAGCTGGCAACTAGTGAATGTAGTGTTTCAAACACATATAATCTACACGACTACCTGGTTGCTGCTGGATGTAGTGTTTCAAACACATATTATCCACACATCTAGCTGGCAACTAGTGAATGTAGTGTTTCAAACACATATTATCCACACGTCTAGCTGGCAACTAGTGAATGTAGTGTTTCAAACACATATTATCTACACGTCTAGCTGGCAACTAGTGCATGTAGTGTTTCAAACACATATTATCTACACGTCTAGCTGGCAACTAGTGGATGCAGTGTTTCAAACACATATTATCTACACGTCTAGCTGGCAACTAGTGGATGTAGTGTTTCAAACACATATTATCTACACGTCTAGCTGGCAACTAGTGAATGTAGTGTTTCAAACACATATTATCGACACGTCTAGCTGGCAACTAGTGGATGTTGTGTTTCAAACACATATTATCTACACGTCTAGCTGGCAACTAGTGGATGTAGTGTTCATATTACCTACACGTCTAGCTGGCAACTAGTGAGTGTAGTGTTTCAAACACTTACTATCTACACGTCTGGCAACAATTCATTGCACATAGTGTTTCAAACATCATAATAATTATTATCTATACGTCTAACTAGCTACTACTGAATGAAGTGTTTAAAACACATATTATCTATACATCAAGCGGGATACAAGTGAAGTTGTGTTTCAAACACATATTATCTACACGTCTTACTGACAACTAGTGAAATTTAAGTGCAACATTTAGTAAAAGTAATTCATTTAAAGCACTTTTTCTTTTCTATGCATTACAGTTATATTAAAGGTGCTTATATTTAATCTAATATAAACAACCCTGAAATGCATTTTGAATATCCCTAGTTTTGAACATTTTTTTATCTTTTAAATCAAGAAGCGAACTATTCTCTGCTGTTTATTGTTTTCAGATATCGTATCAGGAAAATTGCCAATGCATGAAAGTTTTGCTAGTTGAATAAAAGTTGTAATAATACTTTAAGACCCATTAAACCTGAAAATGCAATTAATTTTATTTCCCAGATGTAATATTTTTGGTGTCCTATTACAACTTCCAAAACGTTTCTCATTTGGCAATATAGCTTAGCCAACGTTTGCATTTTCTGCGTTTTAGGTAATGTCATAAGTGATGTTAGAGTAATGTAGTAGTTTGTATGGAAGTTAATATTTTATTTTGATTACGTTTTGCTACCTTTTAGACAAAGTATTCCATATTTAGCGCTATTTTCTTCAAGTGAAAAGCTTTTTCCCATGTTCTTAATACAGTATTGCAATAATATAAAACACACGTTTGCCTTTCCAACAAAATGGAAAAAAATAACCTGAAGCTTTATGTGCCTTTAAACGTTCTATGTTTCTTACTTTATAATATAATGATATTTATTATATTGATCTGTCGCATTCCATTTACTAAAATATAAGAAAATATTATTATTATATGTCGACTATTTTGGTACTGGCGTTCTGATGGAAAATCGACACACAAAACATTGAATTTGAAACATTTTTGCTAAGAGGGTTGCTTAGAGGTTAATATAGAACAAAGAGAATACAAATATAAATTTCACACTATTTAATGAGTTTTTAGTTTCTTTTCCATGTCCACATGTATATAAATTGTTAATCATCACCAGTCACAAACCTTAAGTGTCTAGTCGGAGCTTTTGTTCAATGCACATGTCGTACGAGCAATTCCGGGATAATACCGGGGCATCATTAAAAAACACTTAAACAATACAGTATATTACAAAAGAAATAAAACATATAATTATTCCTTTGAATATTTGATTCTCAAGTTGACCGACTGACCGATTGCAATTATCTGTAATTCGTTTATTTCTATTCATGTACAGGCTTGGCACAATGGCCTAAATCTTGACCTGGCAATATTCCCCATGGGATTTTTTTTTCAATTGACCACCTTGATTTAGTTGTTCATATGTTAATAACAGTATTGATAATATGCAAATATTCCCATTCACGTCATCAGTCAGTCATATGAATCTCAAAAAGTTGCTGATTGCACGAGAACCGATGGTATTGATTAGAACACATAATTGAGCCGCGTCATGACAAAACCAACATAATGGGTTTGCGACCAGCATGGATCCAGACCAGCCTGCGCATCCGCGCAGTCTGATCAGGATCCATGCTGTTCGCTAACAAACCGTATATCAAGTAGAGAAATTGATAGCGAACAGCATGGATCCTGATCAGACTGCGCGGATGCGCAGGCTTGTCTGGTTACATGCTGGTCGCAAACCCATTATGTTGGTTTTGTCGTGACATGGCTCATATATACATTAGCAGAGAAATATATGTTCCAGAATTCCGATGAACTTGTTAAAGCATTCATATATGTATATAGTTTTGTCATTTTTATGTGACTTTAAAATTGATGACAATGAGTAGTCGTAATGAACGTCAAAATCAATGACGTCATCGGGTGAAGTCTTAAAATACAAACCTACAAAGTTTAACATATTTTGGATATTCTTCACATGTCCATACAGTACTGTACTTAAAACATGAAAATCCTTTGAAACAATTACAGTAATCTATAAATATCTGTTCTTTAAAGAAAAGATTAAAGTAAAAATGTATGCTTATGCATCAGCGAAAAAGAGAAGTCAGTGATTAGTGAAATGTTTTGTATAAAATTATTCTTTCTGGTACACATTTTTTCTATATTTTTTCTTAAAAAAACGATTTTATTTTTTCATCCATTACTCCGAAAAGATAAGAAAATAGAAAATACATGTAATATTATCATTTCTGGATAACATTTTTTTGTTTTTTTCTTTAAAAAAAAACGATTTTTTTCATACATGAATCTGAAAATAAAAGAAAATATAGTATCTCCGAAGCTTTGTGAGCGTTATATATGTATTTATCAATGAGAAAATTGGTTTCTTTCTCTTTTTTTGCTTTCTCGTGACAGCTCATTGTCTAGTCACAGATTTCTGTTAGTTGCAACAATATAGATTTGGTTAACGTGCCGAAGCCGGAATTTTTGTGTTTATCTATTTGCCATTTTCAATATAGATCTTCTGCTATCTGGTTGCTTGTTTATCGAATTAGCAAAACGACAGTCAGACCAGCGTAACTAAACGATCGATTAACAGGAGATGATGTCTACAAAACATCGTTAAATATTGAACATGTAATATTTCCAACATTTGAATTCCACATATCTCGCTGTGGTATAAGATGCGAAAAGAATATAAAAAAAAAACGGAAAGTATAAGAGTTTCGAGAACTTGACTCTGATTCTTTAAAAAGCTTTTATAGGTACGAAGTGGCTGTTTTTATATGCAGATAGCACGGATGTACGGATGATAGTTATCTTATTGCTTAAGATCATATAGGTTAATTATATTACATGGGAGTTAGTGTACATTCTGGAAAAGCACACGGCATTGTTATTGATTTCCAAATGATTAATCATTCATGTAAAGTTACCTCCAGCTGCATACGGCTGTTGGCTTTAACAGGTGTCTATTGAGTATAAATAAATCTATGGATGTTTGTTTATGCATATATGACTGAGGAGGAATTAATTATAAAAAAAAGAAGCTAATTGCTACAGCATATTGCTCTGGTTCGCTTCGGAATTCATCTTCTTACATGGCGCAACTGAGTTATAATTTTATGTTTCCTGCTTCCTGGATGCATTGAATACGTTTTTGTTTTAACTGAATTTACCTTGAACATTGTTCAGAGCTGTGATGTATATTTTGCGTATGTTTTAAAAGATATTTTAATTAGAAAAAAAGTTCAAGGAAATTTGAAGCTATGTAAACAACATGGATTTATTTGGATTTTATGTGACCTATTATAAGTAATTACTTCACATATTAGTGGTGTACTGTTTTAAACGTTTTGAAATTACATGCACGTTGCACGAGAATCTGGATGTTTCGAATGATCCTTTATCGTCTTTTCCCGCCGTTACGGAAACATTTGCTTCTTACGAAAGAAAACCGTAAGTAACGCATTTGTGCGATTTTGATATTTTTTTGATAAATTTGGATTTTCAAGAAGAAATACAAATTATACATGTACATTAATTTATATGTAATGCAACTAGTGTGTTACAATGGTGTCCCAGTTGGAAATAATCAATAAGCGTAGTAATATAATAAACATATAATTTTATCTGACGCAGCACGTGCAGTCGTTAATTTTTAAATTTATAAAAACACAGCGCGTTGTTATTTACTATCTATTATAGATCCTGTATCTTTTGATTAAAGTGGTAAACCACAATAAGTGAAAATATATATATGTACATAATTATGCCAAAAAAATAGTTTTCAAACATTAAAGAATATGTAAAATATGTATTGCAGATATTTGTGCATATTAAATGTAATCATTAAAATATGTGCATTCATTTCTTATTGTAAAATTTGACTTAAACTTTATAGAAAATAAATTTTTATTACCTCCCTTTATTTTCATGAAATGTTAAATTCGGTAATATCTTTATAACTAATGCTTTTTGGAACCTACGATATTGATAAATCTTAATTTTAGCATCGTATTTATGATTTAAAACCACAAAAAATACAGAATCTTTAATTGTTAAATCTATCCTATTGAATTATGTGTTAATTGTAATTTTCAGCACGTGCATTTATTGTATTATCTATTTATTGTTATTTATTATTAAATACAGAACAAACAGTATCTATTAATTGTTAGATATAGGTATTATATTATTCATGTATTTTAAACACAGCACGTGTAATGATTACATTATCTATTAAATATCATGGGTAGCACGTGCAGTCATTGTAGTATCTATTTATTGATAAATATAGCACGTGCAATCATTGCATTATCTATTGAATATCATAAATATCAGGTGCAGTCACTGCATTATATATTTAATGTTAAATACATCAAGTGCAGCTATCATATTATCTATTAAAAATCATATATAACACGTGCAGTCATTGTATTATCTATATATTGTTAAATACAGCACGTGGACTTAATGTATTATGTATTTATCTTAATTACAGCACGTGCAACGCGTACAGATTATATATTTTCTATTTAATGTTAAATACATCAAGTTAAGTTACTGTCGTAATTATTCATTTTAATTGCACAACGTCCAGGTATTATACTTTCATTTAATATTAAATGTAGCACGTGCAAATGATGTATTCTTCAAATGCAGCTATTGAATTCATGTGATAATCTTATATTTCGTAAATCAAAGTACGTCCAAAAGGAATGTGTCTGGGAGCTGAATAATAAAATTTCATCTGATGAAGTAAGGAATAGGAAATTAAACGAGACACACACAGGGGAATGAATTGAATAAAAACAGAATATTTTATGATATAAATCTGCATTTTATGACCTTGCTGAACTTACTGCGATCAAAAGAGATGAATCGTCTCTTTCATTTCTTCTTGTATTCGAAAGCTTAGAAAATGCGGCAAATTCTTCTATCTGTTAATGAATTAGGTACAGTCTAAAGCGGAAGAACCATAAGTGATTAACATGTACGTGCATTTTGGCCACACTCTATACCGTTGGCTGGTCAACTTTAAATTTTCATTGATATCCCTTAACATTGGTAATGGAAAGTTCCAAAATGGAAGATGGACAAGTCCATTTAAGAAAATCAGGATGTTAGGGAATAAATTTATTTCTAACCCAAACAGTCTTAAAAGAAAATCGTTTCTACTTTAAACATTAAGCAATTCTTAAACAAAGGCACATTATTATATGTCCATAATTCCCTTATCTATAGCACTGTAGAAGCGTACTTTCGGACGAACTTTAAAATCCTCCTTATTTCCTTATGTAGTTTTTCTTTAATATTTCAGTCTTTTATTGTTATTACACAAGTTTACGTGTTGTTTTTCTCTCTAGACGATCTTGATTTTTGAAACAAGAGGAAGATGTTTGTTAGTATAATGAAGTACTTGTGTCCACTGTCTAATTCTTAGAAAAAATGTTTTATATATCATTTCCTTCTATAAATAACATACACCTCGTCTCCATGGTTACACGTGTCACAAAAAGGAAATAAACCGCCTCTCTCCTTTTATTTATATGTAGACTTTGGAAATCACATATCCTGTTGATTTGCAGTAATGAACTTATTCTGCCATACGAGTAAATGCCACCTTTTCTGGTATGGTATAAATGATTCGGAACTCGGCAAATATGGTTTTGGGGTGGGGTGGGGTTGGGTGGGATCCAAACTTTTCCCGCGGTACAAACAAAGTTACCGTTAAAGCTCCACGGTGCAGTACCTATGACAACCAATTTGTCATCCAGTATCACTAATATCTGTAAACGTCAAAGTTGAAACTATCAAATATTGTTTGTACACCCGGTATTAGACAAAAAAAATTTGTAATTCCGGAGTCAGTCTATTCTTTGCCAAGTTATTGCCAAAATCTAAAAGCAATTACCATATAAGATGAATAACCAAGATGTTTTGATGTGTGTAGTAATGTTGTCACATATAAGATTTCATATATTCGAGACGATTGTTTGCTCTTCCTTCATTTTATATAAGCAAAATGATTCAAGGCACTTTGTTCTGCGTTGTTGCCTCCTACACAACTTCCCTATTGCTCGTGAACATTTTATAATATCATTGACTTTAGCTAACATAAGTTACATTTTTTTTAAACAATTTTTAAAAGACATTACATATGAAAAGGACGGATAAGAAATTTTGTACTTGTATCAACTAGAATTCTTTTTAACTATCATAGTTGACCTGTGTAAAAAAATTTCTCCTCTTAAATTGCAATGACCTGAGCTTAGATATGTGATATGTAGTATCACCTTATCGACCTCTATAAATTAAAAAGATGTTTTTCTGGTATCAATATTTGTCCTATTTTTGGTCACTTAATTTTATATAGGAATAAAAATTAAAATCTTCTGGTGAAAACTACAATTTTAAGAACTTCTAAAGATGTTTGGCATGTAGCATTGGCTACCACAACTTTGAAAAACTTACATATATATCATGTTCTTAGGGTAAAAATGACCCAATCCTAAATATGTTTCTTCGAAATTATGGTGTCCAGAGCATAAATATTTGGTATGTAGCATTACCTTATGTCCTGTACAAAAGTTGTATAAATCATGTCCCTTGGGTAAAAATCGGCTGCCCTGGGGTCAATTTACATAGGAATACTATTTTTAGCATGAAGCATTGCTTTGTGGACACGAGGTTTATAAATCATGTCCCTGAGGTCACCTTGACCGGTAAGTCACTCTGTTTATATAGACTTAAAATAAAACAGAATTAAGTGTTTTTGTGTGAAGAATATAGATATTTGGCATGCAGAATTTCTTATCAGAAATTAGAAAATGTTTAGAAAATGATGAATAAATTGTGCAGTTTGGGTCAAAAATAGCACATCTATTTAATGTGACCTTTTTACATATTTGTGCATTGAAGTCTAGCATCTTATCTGAGGTGACCGATACAGGGCCACCATTGCCCTCTTGATTAATATTGGTAAACATAGTTTACTTTTATAATTTCAAACAGCAGACTCATTATGCCATAAGTTACATGTCTGGCCTGAAGTGAAAATTAAGATAGATATTAAAGCAGCATATTACAAGATTCATGCTAATTTTGAAAAAAATATATATATATTTATAATAAGAATATTCAAAAATAACCCCTCATGCGTTAGTCATGTGGTGATAAATCTAGCAAAATCAGCTATCAATCGTAATTATTATTTAATTTGTGAATCTTTTTACTTTTCTCAATATCATAGAATATTTTTCTCAAATTTAAACTTCTTGAAATATGTTTTTGCTCATCTGGGGACATGCAGCTTTAAAAGAAAAAAAACTAATGAAATGTAGTACATTAAGACTGAAAGAGATTCCATAAAATAAAATACATTTGAGCCGCGCCATGACAAAACCAACGTAATGCGTTTGCGACCAGCATGGATCCAGACCAGCCTGCGCATCCGCGCAGTCTGATCAGGATCCATACTGTTCGCTTACAAACCCTATCGCAAGTAGAGAAACTGATAGCGAACAGCATGGATCCTGATCATACAGACTGCGCGGATGCGCAGGCTGGTCTGGATTCATGCTTGTCTCAAACCCATTATGTTGGTTTTGTCATGTCGCGGCTCATTTCAGCGTTTCAGCAACTAGATAATTAAGAATAAGTTATTTTAAAATGGCTTACTTGTAGCCACTCCAGTAATACCTATAAAATACGAAAGGAGCATGATTATTGCGAAACTATGCTTTGAATTTGTTGATTATTTTACTGGCATTTGCAAGTGTAATATTTATTGTTTTCGTGCGCCGAAATCAATAGAGAAACTTGAATTTGATACTTTGAGAATTATTTCCTCAAAGTGTTTTCATTGGGATTCGCTTGAAGATATTAAGGCATTTGTTATTATTTATTCTCGCTGATGCATTTTAGGTCTTTGTTAAAGTGTACGAAAAAACAAACTAGCGGTTGTGTTTCTTATTCAATTTTCTTTTTAAGTTATATTATTTGTACAAAAAATGTGCTAGAAAGATGAAAGATGCGCATAATTTTGAGGCGGTGTAAAGAACAACCAAATTAGAATAAAGATGCATACACTTTACATAGGTGCAGTCATTTATAATTATAACAGTATTCTTAAATTATTATTAACAGTTATTGAATTTTGTATAATTTGCTTAAATATATAATTATTATCATACTTATTATCATGTAATGCCGTTGTGCAAAATAACCGAATCAGACGTATACTTTCATGCAAGAATTGCGCTAATGCGCTTTATTTTTCGTGCATTTACATCTGCGTAAGCCCTCGGACTTTATTTAAATCGTGTTTTTATAGGAGTTAATGCAAGAAAGAAGATGCCACTAATCCATAACTCATATCATCATTTTTCTCATTAAATTAAGGGGCTTATTATTAGTTATAAAGATTTTGACAGGTTATATGGCCCTATGTAACG